GTTTGACGAAGATATATATATATATATATTGAGAGAGAGAGAGAGAGAGAGAGAGAGAGAGAGAGAGAGAGTTCTGTGCATAAAATGCACGTGTACTTACACCAGTGTAATGCAGCGCACAGTCAATTGCGAGTAACGTTTGAAGCCGAGACCACTTTCTCAAGAAAGCCTCTCCCTTCCATGCTTCTCTAGCAAACATCTATTTCATTCTTACACTGTAGACTCTGTTGGTTGCTTCTTGCAACGTCTTTTCGGTAAAGTCCGAGATACGTCCTCCTTTGCAATGAATGAAACACTTGATATTCTCAAGCAACTTTGAAGCACCAGCCTCCAATCTCTCTCCACTAGGCACAAACAAATTATCCAATTTTCCTTCCATGTATCCAATTCGCTAATTGATATTGTTTGCCAAAGTATCACCGGCCCTCATTAAAATGAATACTTAATTTAATAGATTCACGTTTTCAGGCTACACCGAGGCATAGTTACAAATACATCATTGATGACGATAATGGTGTGGAACAAGGAAAGGTTGAAACCAGAAGTGATGAATTGGCAACCGGTCAATATTACGTTAATGGTGAGCAGTCATCCACGGATGTGAAATATTTCACCGACGAGTGGGGCTATCATCCAATGGTTAAGTACAGTGCATCGAGTGGTCATAGTATGGCTAATACACAATTGGCCCTGAGCGAACACGTCGCTCAAGCCCGAGTTAATGACACCAATTCCGTTAGTATATCAAATCGAGAAGATTTTATCCTCACTTAGTCGACTTTTACTTGCTCGACCAAACAAATAAAAAATCCATTGTATTTTTAGACAGATGATACGCAGATGATTGAACCATGGTCGCCAAATAACTTTGCAATTCGGGAAATTACTAACGACAACGAGAAAGTGCTGAAACCATACATAGAGGAGGTGTCAGAGAGCCGTGCCACTGAGGGAATGAATAATACTTCACTTACAACGCTCGAAGAGACTCGGATAATTGACAATTCCGGTAGTTTTGGTCAGCGCATACCCAATACTCAGAATAGTGCAAGTACATTACCCAGGCAAAATGAAACCCACCACACAACACTTGAATTACCCCACACCTCTCAGTCAATAATCCATCACACTGTCAACCTATCTCCTGTCATTACCACTAAAAATTCATCCTCACACCATAATTCCTCAGTATATAATTACGAGACTACCCTAGAGAGTATACGAAAGCTATTCAACATGGAGGCCAAAGAAGAAATTAACTACAAGGACCCACGTAATCCCCAAGTATTTCACCGAGAATTCGCCAGTAACCAGCTAGCGCACCAAAAACACTCCTACCCAGTATCTGGAGATAATATCGACGTGCAGTTATTGGAGAAGCCACCGCCACAAGTTTCACGAACATTCTCTAAGCCTATTGTCGTTGCTGAAGTCCCCAACTCAGAGCCATTTGAGTACAATACAACTTTCCACTGCAACGATCTGACTGATGACAGCACTGGATCCATTACATCTTTCACAATTGATAAGACTATACCGTTGACTCCAGCTCCAAGTACTTTGTTAAGCGATACTGCTGTTTTAGTGACGCCAAAAATTCACAGCTACTCGCCTATAACCACATCTTCTGTGATACTGAATCCAATCCAGGCCGGTGTAGCCCTGATGAATGCAGGTGAGGCCGACTTTATATCGAGTGACACTGAGCAGCAATTAAAATTAGTAAGCTTCAATGCGAGTGCAAGTAAGGAGATGGAAAAGCTATCTTCAAAGAGTATTGTACATCCAGGCTTAATTATTGGCACATCCGATGAAGCTTACGGTGATGAGATATCAAAATTCAATGGGCGCGCTGCAGGAATCGGTACAGCCTCCTATCAAACGGTTGAAATACAAAATTCACGTGAGTTATATGACAATAACCCCGTAGAGGAAATACATTATCCCGCTGAAATGGCGCCGCAGGTAGTGACCATCAATCAACTCTCTCCAAAATATCTCAATATACCGGTATATAAGAATCCAAGGCAAGTTGAGCAAGGTAAAACTTATGTGGATACCGTCAACGCCAATTTTGGCTACCAATCGATCCTCGATAGACCTGAGTTACTGTTGCAAGAGCTTCAAACGAGTCCCGAGGCTCCACCCTCAACCCGCTTAGCATCTCATCCCGATCGGCAAGAGAAAAATAACGCCAACGCTTTAGTAAATCCAATGAAACACCTTGAAAATTACGTTGCATCTAAGAATCTTCATGGCATAAAATTTCCGAAGGAAAAAGCCACTGACGAGATAAGTTTTTATCCTGATGCAAGGATGAAAGAGAATCATATTTACCCGGAATTTGAATCGGAAAAGGTCTTCCAGAATATGCAGGTGAATGCTCAGCAGACAGGCATGTCCCTAGAATCCGGAAAAAGGGTGAAAAATAATAGTCAAAGTAATACAAAGTCTAGCCTCCAGAAATTGTTGACTGAAGAGAAACAGCAGAATGTGTATGGGCACAGCACACGTATTATAAGCACAGTGCCACCGACAGAGATTGAGAAGATTGAGATGAAAGGTATTTCAAGAGAAATAGAAAAAGCCATACGACAGTATTCTTTATCCGAGGATATCGGAAGAAGTACTATTTACATTCATATACCAACTGAGGACGATTCACTTCTCGATATTGGTAACTACGACAGCCAAACAATTCGAGGACCTCAAAAGTCTTCGGAGACAGATGTCCTTAATGGGAAAAAATTACAGGAGCAGCATATTGTGAATCCACATCAGGATACATCGCAATTTTATCCATTCCCGGAAGAAAGAGTCCTTGAAAAGGCAGTGACTGCTCTTAACCCATACCCAAAGCCCATTGAAAAGAGTTTACCACAGCCGGTTCATAAACTACTTCCTCATCTCTCCCCACTTCATATATCACAACCATACCCAGTTGAGAAGATTGTTGAGAAGCAAACTCCACTTCAGGAGCCACATCCCCTCGAAACACTAACAAAACCATTGGAACTGACGAATTATATCGAGAGCACAATTCATATACCGTATGGGGTACAATATGGAGTTAGTTATCAGCAAATTATGAATCCGCCTACTAATAATTTATACGATAGCAACCCAGGTGAACCACAAATGCAGACTAATGGATCCGACCACCTGTTCCAAGGCTACTATCTCAATAAACCAGTTGTACCAATGAAAAATGCTCAATTAGAATTAACTAAACGTTATGGTTCTTTAAATCAATTATCAAATAACAAACAGTTACAGCCGCAAGTGCAGCAACCATTGCAGCAATCGGCGCCACCGATTTATCTAAAGAAAATTCACTTTACCAATCAGTTTGTATTGCCATTGCATTCACGTTCAATCGATCACCACATACCTTCCCACAGAAACTTGGTGTATCGTGCTATCGATAAAGGAGCCAACAAAAATTTAGAATACATAGGACCAGTACCATTACCACAGCATGCCCTGAATCTTCATCAACGAAATCAGCTGGTACATCCGCTTCATCAAGAAACCCTTCGGTTCTTGACTACTGTTGCACGATCGACTGGTGCTGGTAACTTGAGGAGAGCGAGATTGCCGGATGTACATTATCAAAGTAGAACGAGTAATTTCAGACAGTCGAAAATGGAGTACGGCTTTAAACCTCCCATGGTACCGTCAGTGCAGTACGACGAACAAACTGCAACTAGAGTGGAAAATTGACGCTCCATTTTTTCATCACTAATCGTTAAAAACTCTTTGTACTTAATCTTTCTCTTTGTATATTTTTTACATTCAGTTGACCTTTAATAGAATAATTTATTGTCAATAATGCTGTTGTTTATTTTAAGTAGATAAAAATGAATGAAACTCATGTGTTGTTCCTTTCCCCCGGACGAAGGTGAATTAAAAGCTAGAGAAAACTCCATTCTTAGATAAGTTCAGCAATGAACCCACTAAATGAATTAAAACTCTCCTTTGGGTTGTGCTGAGGAGTGCACGACGGTGGAGGTATTGAAGGTCTGTAAAGTTTTTCGATAAAAACAAACGATGACAAGGAAACGCCACAGAGACTGGGATGTCGTTTATACCGAGTGCATCCGAGTTGGAAAACAATAATACGGAAGAAAACTTATAGACCATTAATTTGATGCTGGGTCTTTGATTGGTGCGGGCATTCAGCCATGATTTATATTGGGATCTGTGGACCATTTGCCGCTCTGGTATTGCGCATTCGGCTGGTAAACTCTGACCGTCATCCTCCGATAAAAATAATTAATCAATCAGTAATTTCACGTAATTCGACGTTATATACGAATTGTGCTGCTTGAAGATAGAATGCGTGAGCCCGTATGAGCCACAACCAGGGCTGTAAATTTTCGATTCCCGCTGAGAGTTTTCCTCACCAACTCGCACACGGAGAACTAGTAAAAGAGTGAGACAGAAATAGGATTGTAGTTTCCCGTACATCTTATTTTCTTTCGTTCTCTGTTCATTTTACGACATATGGACAAAATGAAGTTTATTACAACATGGGGCGAGTTCAGCACCTTGAAAAAAAGTACAGAGCTCCCTGGGATTACAGAGAGCCGATACATTATGGGCTTGAAACGACTACAGTCGTAACTAGGACTTTCATAAATTTTATGTACGTACATTTTGTCCTTTGATCTAACGCGAGATTACCTGGATTAATATCACAGTTTGGAGTTTTCAGTTTGCTTCCTATGCTTCTTTAGTACTCGCTGTAGAAACACTTTTGAAGTAATATAATTAAAGTAATGTACGAGCAAGCCTATTTTTCCGCCAGAAAAACCACATATTCCATTTATCATGTGCCTTATTAATTTTACTATGAATAATTACCTAAGGTAGTTTCATCCTACAGGGACTTAAGAATTGACTTGAGGACTGAGACAACCACAAAGAAGAAGAAGAAGAAGAAATGAACAGAAATTTTGAAGCAGAGGCGCAATTAATTGTATAAACTAAGACCTTGCCAAAAAAATTTGCTGACAGATAGATTCTTGTGTACGAAAACTATAAAAAATAGAAAAACGAAAATGAAAATGCCGTATCAAAATCTGAGTAGAGTAATCTAGTTGCATATTTCAAAGGTTAAGACCAAGGCTAAATCAGTTACGCACTTTTTTACTGAACGTTTCGTACGTTTTCCTGAAAGTTCAGTGAAAAAGTGCCGGACTGTTCAGTAATTTTTACTGAATATTGTTTTGACTAGCAGATTATGGAACAGGCACGTAATTTTTATTGCATTTTCATTGTCTCTCCGTGTGAGCCTAATTATTTAATTAATTAAATTTATACCTATTTTTCTATTTTTCTATTTTTCTTATTTTTTCTTTTCTTTCTTTGTATTGATGCCTGCCCCGTCCAGCAGCACTGGTTTCACTCGTCTCACATATATTTCAATGAACCCATGCAATCCGTCCGTACTTTCGACCTGCTATAACGAAAAATAGTATACACTATACGGGCAGATTGTTGAAATCCGTGACTAGCGCATCATGATATGCGCAGTGCAGGAAATTTAAGATTTTGCCCCTGTAGTATAATTTCCTATTAATACGTGCATAATTCGTGTGAATTCCTGTGTATTGAAAATGGTTTCAATGAATTTTTAATTTTCATACCCTCTGACTACTATAACATTTTAGCAACGATTGCAGAAAAATATGCAGTCTGACTCAACGCTTTCATGACTACTGCGTGGTAATGGTAGAGATCTATACTGACCGGCACTACAGTGTCTACGTTTAGTTAGATGAAGAGAAGCGAAAGCCAACAATGTTTTTTCAGGCTTTTAAAGCTTATGTTTCCCTAGCGTACTATTGTTTTCCTCTTATTTTCCATGGTTGGGATAGAGCTGGCTATTATTATGAGATAATCATTGGGTCGAATTGATGTCCGGGGGATTAAAAGCCCATTAAAGAGCAGGGGGTAAGTAACTCACTGATATATTTTTGTCCGACCCATCCTCCGTGGGCCTCCGCAAACGAACCACAACAGGGCTCGGCGGCTTCTAGCCGAACACGCTTCCACACTCCCGCATCCACTTGTTTCCACAAATAATCACCGACCTGCGGCTTCTCCTCTTTTTCGGCTTTTTGTTAGAATTAACGATGCGGGGGAAAAAGTCAAAATTAAGGATAGGTGAAAAAAACCCAGTAAAAACAGCGGAAAATGGTAATATACAAGCCACAGAGATTGTGCCGACTACGTATATAATATGCTACATATGCCACGGCACGCACCCATTTCCTTATGCCATGTTTATCAGATTGCTGTTTCCCTGGCAGTACCCCTTTTGCGTATGTGGTCAAGCTTGGTCAAGCTTGGCCAAGCCTTTATTACGCCTCGGTGAATTAAATCCGGAAAGCTCAACATTTACGTCCATCTTTTTCCTGTTTTCCGACCTCTTTTTATTTGCGTCCAAAGTCGGAAATAACGGAAAACGGAAATAGCAGCTCAAATTACTGATGAACAATGTTTGGGGTGAATAAACCAACAGTGTGCAGTGTACACTGAGAGAAATATTCAATAAAAATTACGTGTATTTTTCGTAATTCTGGAGCGAAATGTGGTTGTCGGAAATTTTACGGAACTGTCACGTAATTTTTATCTAAAGTCACGGAATTTTTCCGCGATGTTCCGTAATTTTTATCTGAATTATCGGTGAAAAATAACGATACCGTCACTTAAATTTTTCGAATCAACTCCGTAATCGGTAAGTGAACTGAAAGTTCCGTAATTTTTACTAAATATTTCTCTCCGTATACGTCAGTTTATTGGGAATAAAGGTCAAATTAAATTTGGACGTAAAAGTCGAAAATTATTCGAATATACTCGACTATTTTAAATATTCACTCAAAGTCGCAATTTCCCTTTGATTTCAATCAAAGTCTCAATTTCAGTTTGTCATTGTTAAAATTTCATTTAACATTACCAGTATAACCCGGTAATAGTGACAAGGCAAGCTTTGCGTAATATCACCTGTGCGCGAACAACAATAATTTACAAAGGCAATGGCAATCCGATAACGTTAAGACCATTTGAAAGACCGTGAAAACCGTGTGAGCTCCCAAAACTTTTCATGGAAAGTGAGCCTCGAAATTGACTTAATGGAAAAAAATGAAAAGATAAGAAAGTTGTTGAACGAACGCCAGGTGGCAACGAACTTGAGTTATCCGGGTTTGGTACTGAGCGAGTAGAATATCGTTGGCCGTGCTTATGCTATTGGGCGAAACGAGGTCAGTTTAAGAACTGGGAAAAGTGTCTCTTGATTTTTATAACCACTGCTGTGGCGTTTCGTTTTATGCGGTGATTTGTGTGCACGTGTGTGACAATCTCGTTTTGACTACCATCCTTAATATGATCTCTCTCTCTCTCGTACTTCTAGTATTCTTATTATCACGTGCACGCCAGAATATTCCATCCTCGCTTATTAAAAAATATATTTATGAAGCCATACCCTTTCATTGATTTTCTAATTTTATGAAAATGAAAGCGAACGAGGCATCTTAATTGGAAAATTAAGAGATGAGTGGAAAAAAAACTTCGATATTCTCTCTGAGACATTAATAAAGTAATATCACTGGAGAAGGATGCATTAACCCGGGTGTCGCCCCAAAAAGTAAGGAAGATAAGATGCAAACGTGCCAAAAGTGAATGAAGGCCTGTATAAATTAACGCCCCGCAGCGTCATAGTAGACGGCGATTATTTTTTTAATCCTCCCTCTCTTCTCGCGACTCTATCCATGAAAACTTTTAAATTGCTAAAGTTAGTTAGCGGACTATGCACTCCCTGATAGAAAAAAAAAACACATGAAAAAAACGATAGAACAATGATTGAGCCCGAAACTCACGATTTCATTAAGATAATATCTTTCCCAAACCTCTTCATCTGCAAGAAAATTAATAAATATTTCGTCATGTAAAGTAAACTCAGCAATAAAGTGAAGATGAAACAATGAGCGGGAGACGAGAGGAGTGAGAAATTGAGGATAAGAAGAACAAAACATGAAATGGTATAAACGTGAAATTCGGAATTTGCATGTATAAAACGCATTTTAACGGACGCACTCGCATTCATTAGGAAAGCATTACCATTGCAAATAAAATAAACAGCGCAAAGGTGCATAAATATTAATGGGTTAGAAGGGTCTCTGTTTTCCCAGAGCTGAAGATGCTCGCGGTATCAACAGTACTCACGAGACCTTCCAAACTACCACTCTAATCCCCCCGCCGCCACTCAATGACTGTAGAGGATATGGAGATAACGGATGCAAGAGAAATCTTTCCATCTGCCCCACCACTCAATCCACCAAAGTTGCTACCTTTCGGGAGATTCATTTATTTACTTTCGTTTTGGATCAACTGGCCATCTCTGGACCAGCGGTCATTATCGCTCCGCCAGAAGTTCACTCAATACCGGATGTCCACAATCAGTCAATTAATTCATCATGTGCACATATAAGGTAAGATATTGTGTTTTTTCGAATCTTCAAACTAACAAACAATTAATTTTCATTCACAATTCTTTTAATAATTAAAATTAAATACTGACAAATTGGAGTCGAAATTCTATTAAAAATATATGCAAGACGTATAATATTTGGCTGTATTACTAGTCCGAAGTACTTCGAAGTGCATTGAAATTTTTTTGAATTTTTCTATTACTTATACTATTTACATCGAAGGATAATCGATCCATTTTATTGTATCGATAAAATGAAAAAAAAATATCATTTCTCGCCAGACATGTGAAATTAGTCTCTTGACAAACTACACCACAGCTATATGATTGCAGGTGGTACTATATCTGATGTTAGCAATTCAAAGCTACAGACTCCCAGTTCTATGTGACCCACTGGTCTCACCCAGCTACGTGAAACAAGCAGCTTCTAATCAGCCATCCACTAACGAACGCTTTCGTTCTACTAGTTCGTATGACATTACGCCGATGGAATACGTAAATGACAACGAAAAGTACGACTCCACGAGAACGAAAATAATCAATAAAATTAAATCATCGGCTCCCATTACTATCCAAAAGGATTCAACGCTAATTGAAAAGAAGACCATGGGAATAGAGCGATCGCCTCATTATAATTCCATGGTACGAGAAAATAGTAATTCCGGCAGCAACCGCAAGACGAAGTCAACTTTAAATTCTGATCAGGATGAAAAATTTCTCATTGACCTCAGAGGCTTTGGGACAGGCAGGGAGGAGTACCAGGTCAAACAGGCATCACTGGAACCGAATGTGCTCATCACACGGAATGACACGTCCACATCGTATCGATCTGACTTAAAGAGGATGAGGTATCATCACATATTGAACGATCAAATACCGATAAAGGGGGCAGACTCTCGGCTGAAAGGTATATTTGATAAATTTTCATCGGGAAACATAATTGGCACAGTTCCATCACCATCTTCGGTGCAGTACGATACGTCATCCGGGGATGAATTAAACAATGAGAGCCATGGAAATCGTAGGATTCAGCGTCAGCATCGACCCATCCCAGCTATGATATACCAATTTAATAAAGCCAACCCACACAGCAAACCGCAAAGAATTCATGGGCCTATTACAAAACAACGTCTCTCAAATCCAGACCCTGGTTTCATCCATAGTTTGCTAGGTGTCTTTGATCAGTCTCAGCCAGTAGATACCCTCAACATTCATCCCATTAAACCACATGAAATCATCATCACACCACCCAGATACATCGACGGGGCTAAAATATTACCACAGGGATTCACGCCAACATCCCCACCCAACACAAGACCCAGCGGCGCTCAGTTAGTGAAAAATACCGAACGAAATCCCAACGGATTTGGTGAAAGTGAGCGTGTGCTCGAAACAGGTGAGAGTTTTTTCTCCTCCTCTTCTTCCTACCATCTTCTACCAAGTCTTTTGAGTTTAAAAAAAAAAACTTTCATCTCACTCTTTTTACTCATACATGGGGCTCCCTTTTTCAGATGTGATAGGCAAAAAAGAACACACAGTAATTATTCACGATCACTTTTCATCAACCGTGAGACCCCATACAATTCCAAAAATACCTTATCACCATATTTCGGACAACTATGACAATACTAGGGAGGAAGAGTATCCGGAGAATCATCAAATTCCTTCAAGTACTAAATCAATGGTATCAACGACCAAGAATCTTTACTACGGAATATCAGAGCCACATGAAAGTTATAAGCACCCGGGCAGAGACACGAAATACGTGAGTAAACTTGGAATAATTAATTAGTCTCTTCCATCAGCTTGAAAACCGACGAAAATTCAGGCTGACGAATCGATTTATATCAGTTGGGGTAAACGGTGGAACGGTGGAACGATGGGCCTGAGAGTCTACTATTGTATAGGTGGAGGGGAGACGCGTGCTCAGTGCACATTTAACTTACAACCAAGAGCTTACGTGTCTGGAGACGCGAAGCAGCGGGTGGCAGTGCACAATGTACACGGGAATATAGACCAGCAAACTCAGGGGGGTTGAAAGTAGTAACGTGTAGAGGTGAAGGGAGGTGAGACTTGAGAAGGGGAATCTCTTGCCTGGCCACCCGTTGCAACATCGCCCGACCCACTTAACGTTATCCAACTTCGCTGATCCGACAAGAACATATGCGCTCCGGAACTGGCACGAAACTCTGCCAGGAATTGTTCAATGGATCGCACTTTGCACCACTCCTGGCCTCATCACGAGACCTCCAACAACACTGCCGCATGTGTCTTCGCCTACCCCCGTTTAGCTCTTCTCAGCTTCGTTAACTACATTTCCTCCTTCCTCTCCCTTTTTTTTCAACTCTACTTTTGTTCGTTCATTCAATTTTTTATTACCCAACCTACAATAACTAGCACTCACCCACTGCAAAACCTCCAAGAGTTTTTTTCGCGGTATGCCAACATACGTTAGTGAAAAGTTAAACAACCTTTGAGTAAACTACGTTAAGCTTTCAACATTGAGTATACATTTTTATTTTTACGTTTATTCTTTTTCTAACAACTCTGTAATCAATGGGTTTCATTTTGCAGAATCCTCATTCTGGAAAGTATGCCTTTGAGTATCATGTGGCAGATACTTACTCAGCCAATGACTTTGGCCATCAGGAGATGCGAAATGAGCATCTAACTCACGGCAAATATCACGTTCGTCTGCCCGATGGGAGACTACAAAAAGTCAGCTATCAAGTCGACGACCAGGGCTATCACGCTAATGTGTCATACGACTCCAACGACCAGAACTATTACATATAATTAAAAAATCAATAATTAATATATAATTTTACAAAATTTAAGCTTTAAATTTCAACGGGAAGGGACAGCAAATTTCCAATACTACAATATTGAATATTTAAGATACCTCTAATTCTTACGTTCATACGGTAATGAAGACGGTTGTAAATATTGTACAAATTGCAGAAATTATTCGTCTGAATTTTATTTAATATGCCATTTGCATAATGAAATGAATGAGAACTTTCCGATATCATTAATTAATCAAGTTCAACTGTCGCCTGTTGTTTGCTGTATTTCTTACCGAAAATTGGAACAATTAGCAATCTACAGAGAGATATATATATATAATTAATAAATAAATAATAAATGACGGAACGCTCGACCAAAATTCCATAACTGTTCCATAAAATTTTCCTGAGCCACATTTCGCTCTGGAATTATGAAAAGATGCATAATTTTTAATGAATATTTCTCTCCGTGGAGTTTACCATTGGATAAGATACCTCATTAAGAAGAAATAAACCTAAAAAGAATTCCATCGCGGGTCAGATACACACGAACTGTAAGAACTATACAAAACAAGAGCGAAAGTGAATAACTAGTGTAGGAAGAGTGTATCATCATCTTTCGTAATTTTTCGTATATATCGTGAGAAAAGAGGGCACGAGTTGTACATTAAGTTGCGTTTGCGCAAATCTTGGTGAATTTACTCATCCCCCCCTATTCAGGCTCAATCATTAAAGTATTATTATATTATAGAAACGTTTCATCCTTTCTTTTTTCATCTTCATCAACTTTGTATGTGTATCAAGAATAAATCTCTAATGCTCATCCCGCATTGTCCTGGAAAAATCTCTCAGCTCTTTCACTCATTATTCCTCAATTTCATTAATTTGAGGAGGAATAAATATTATGAAACAAAATTTGTTGGACGCACGCTATCCTCTCCTGTAACCGGAGAAATCAGTTAACAGATGCATCGCGTGTTAGGCATCCAAATGGTCGAAGCGTCAGCTTAGCTCCACTCATACTCATACATCATTCACTCTTGCATGTAGTCTGCCATCACTCTCTCATCTCGCCGCATACAGTAAACCGTTTATTAATTCAATAAGCAGGACCACCTCAGTGTAAATTTCCTCATTCCAAAAACTAACTTGCACACCCGAAATCCCAAGTGTATGCACTATACACCACTTGTACACACAGGAAAGCCACGCTCGCGTGAATTAATTAGAGCCATACGTGGTCCTTGGCTCAAACAGATTATTATTATGATCAGTTAAAGCCTCCACGCTTCTCTGATTGTCCAAATGATGAGGAGAGGGGCATGACGAGGAGAATTGTACATGCTCGTGCACGACCGGAACTTGAGCAATTTATAAAGTGCCACAGGCCTGTACTTGGAAAACTTTTAATGGACTGACACATCTGAGATGTAATCTTGTTTGTTCTTACAGTTTGCACTCACACCAGACTTTACAATACGCAGGAGTAGTTTCAAAAACTCAAACTCGTTTCACTCGATCTATTTCGTCTTGTTCCATATTCACTCTTACCCTCGTCGAACCCCACCGTCACGAGAAATCAAGAAACTCAAAGAATTCTTGATTGCTTGCTCTCGCCCGAAAACCTTTTCTTCATTCTAGGAACTTGATGGAACGTTTTTTCTCTGCGTACCTTCATGGATTAAACTGAGTATTTAATTATGTGCTTATATGTTCCAGAAATAATCATAGAATTGTTCTTCCATTGACATTTCGGAAAATTGAGGTATTGGCATAAATAATTATTCATTTTCTTCTATCCCTCAATAGCTACACTTTTACGACAATTAGAATTCATTATGATATTATGATATAATTCCTGATGTCATCCTTACTGGGAATCCAGCAAATCCAGCTATTTTCATAAATTACCCGTGATTTATTCATAATGAGTTTGAAGGTAACATCTGAAGATTACCAAAAGATGTGCTCTTCATTGATAGTCATCGGCTTGCGCTGGATTTGCGCCGATACAGATATCGATCTCGACGAGAGGTGTATGAACCACAGTTGCCAATAATCTTAATGAGAATGTGATGATTTTAAAAGACTACGGGCTGAATTTTCCCGGCTGGTGCTTGAAACCAAGTGGCCGTTAGACGAATATCGCCCTTTTCAACAGCAATTAATGTAATTGAACGAGCAAAGCTCACGCTCTAAACCACGTTCATGGGGGATAAATACACGCATGTATACAAGTTTCACTTTCTCTCGTGTGTTGGCTTTCTCACTGGCTGAAGCGAACCGATTAACTCGCTGAATCGCCCTATCTGTACAGTGCGATACTTATCTCCTTTAAATTTGATGGTACTCTGACTCCTCAAAATCCGGTTAACCTCCTGTTTTCTCCTGTTGCCGCTTCTTCTACTCACTCTATTCTGTATTATTGCATAAATGGCCATTTCGCAACAGCACATAACCACCGCTAAGGGCCAACATCGGTATCCTACTCCAGTGACCGAGTTATATGCACAGCACAATTCGTTTAAAGCCCCACAGTGCAATCAGCATAATTTTCTAGCAACTCTTTTCCAATGAGCCAAGCGTTTCAATTTTTGAAGATGATGCTGAAATAACGAGCGCATGATGAAATTATTATTGTAACTCATATGAATTAATGGAAAAAAAAAGTAAGGCGTACTCAACCATTGTTTCTCTACACACTACATTAAAACTCTCACGTCTTCATGAGAGATGACGTGTTAATGGTCTAGAATGGACTGGCTCTCACCAGTCTCACAGCTAATTTCATGGCACTTCTCACCGTCACATTGTCCCATCTATCCTCTTGTTGTTTCATCTACCTCTCTCAATACATATTATCGACAAGAGTAATACAGTGTGGATAAGCCTGCTGAAATCAGCGGCAAACGCACTTGACATGTGCATAATTCAGACTGCAACATATATAGTCAGTTAATTAACGGGTACCCGAGTGTCTCAAGACCGGCGTATGCGGCAAATAGAGAGGAGCATGAACAAGACACTGAGAGAGGAGGAGTAGAATAGATAGACAAAGCACGCACGAGGGGTTGGGGTTAATTAGTTTCAATCACCTAATTAGTTTGGACGGCGCAAAGAGGAAGCAAAGAAAAACGATCATAAATTGGAGGGGGGGTTATTAAAGGAAAAGTAATAGCAGAGTAAAGGTGGAGAAAAACCAAGAGTGACGAAGTTGCGAACAAATATTACATGAGCATCTCCCACGCTATGAAGTAACTAGCTTTCTCCGTATAGAAACGAACCAGATATGCCTCCTCTCCATGCATCAAACGATCTCGTTGAATTCGTGTGCAACTGGCCGCAACAAGACTACGAGACTACTCGTCTCTCCCGAAATCACCGAACAAACGCGAGCGACTGTGAAACAATGGAATGAAATAAAGCGTAGGCTTTCCACACTGCGGGATGTCTCTCTTTATTCCCTCTCCCTGTTTACATTACGTCTCACAGTTTGAATAATCTCGTTTTTCTCAATTTCTTCTTTCCTCCCTGCTCCCCAAGACGTTGTGTGAAAATAAACCTACATGCATGCTCATTCACCCCCACACTCGCACACGGTAAATCCCCCCATTCTCTCTTCTCCACCAATGCCACTTCTATCTCACTCTCTCTCGCTATGTTTTCCTGCGAAACGCGTATGGCGGCCTATAAGCGCGCACAAATCCACAGGAAGCTGAGTTACACGTGGAAATAATTTGGCCACCTATAAAAGCAACATCACGATCCAAAGTATCTTCACTATTCAACTTTAATTCCGTGGTGAATAGTACAAATTCGAAGAATGTACACCTCAGTGGTCAAGGTATACACCGTGTTTTCAAATTTTTATATTTCAGAGTGAAAGACTGTGAATCTTAATCGTGAGATCTGAATTATGATTTTTTACCTTTTTCTCCGACGCAGTTGTTCTGCTTCTTTACCTCGTTGAGTGAAGGACAATCCGTCAATTATTGAATGCTTAATGAATCATAATGTAACGGTGCAAGTAGAACAGAGCCATTTATTCATCCCTGTTGAATCTATGTACTGCAGATAACGCTGACGTTGATGGTGAGTCTAGGGGTTGTTTACGGCGAACCACCAGTGAGCAATCAGTATGGCGTTCCTGCGAATTTGCCGGTAAGCAACAATCACGTATCCCATGGAGGCGTAACAAATAGCTACGGTGCACCATTGGGAGCGGATGGTCATCATGACGAGCATCAGGATTACATCGATAGTCAGGTATAACAACACATAAAAACTACTATAGTAAGAATACGAGATTTAAAACGTAATTTATGGGATTTCTGATCCCGTACATTACGGGCTTGAAAAATTACGCCCCGAAAGACGTAAATTACTGCTTTTGTAGCGTAAATTACAATTGTTATGTCGTAAATTGTGAGGTCGATCTTGTGTTTTACCGCCTCAAACTCGTAATTTGCGAGGTCGAATCTTGTAATTCACGATATGGGTCCTCTTAGTTTATGGCATAACAATCATAATTCACGGTACAAAAGCAGTAATTTACGACTTTGTGGGCGTAATTTACGTTTCTAAATTCATAATGTACGAGATCAGAAATCTCGTAAATGACGTTCTAAATCCGTATTTTAAGAAATGTGCCTTGTGTGAGTAAACCATTTTGATGGGGTTTCATAGCAAGAGCAATCTGTGCGATAGATGAGAATAGATTTCGCGCTGCATTGAACTCATCGACTACATCGATTTTATATCTCCTCTCACGCTATCAGCTCTGTTTACAATTACAGCTCACTTCTGGCATACGATAATTGCTTTGTTCGATGGATAATTAATTATACTAATTGCAATTGCATTATTGATGAGCATGTATAATAGTATATGTAGACATGTAGACAGCATGCAGTACAGTGGCCTCGATTATCAAAAATGAATTAACGCCATCTTGACGCATTTAATCCTCTATCAATTTACCCACTTTACGCTGTTATACTGGAAGTAATTACAGCTTGAAGGGAAAATGGCAAATACAATGCAATAGTGCACAAGTTGGTAAAAAGTTTGAAATGAAAACAAACTTGAGAATGATATTTTACTTTTACACAATATACATTTCTTTCTGCTTAATGGACAATTCCCAGTTACAACGGAAGTGGTTAGAGTTTGAAAATAGCATTTTTTTCCAATGCACTGTGATTCTAGGATCGGTAGAATCTTGCCAGGAAAACAAGAATTTCTGTAGTCTGCAAATGAAAAAGAATGGGGAGTACTGAAGCATTGGGTGGGGAGAGAGCAATACAGACAATGGCTTGTAACATTAGCAGTCATGACTGCTCTGCTCTCGCAATAAAGACGGTGGTCGTTAAAGCTCAATCGCTTGAAATCTTGCTGCGAGGGAGAGAAAAACCATTGCATAACATAGTCCGGTGATTTTGAAAGTAAAAAATCAATGATTCCGTATTCAAACATGCTCTTTGATACTTTCAAACAACACCAATTAGGAAAAAATTGCAAGCTTCATACGCCTCGCAAGCCGACACTATCGGCCGAATGACGCATACTATTTTTTGTCACGATAGTCCGAAGGAGGAGAGGGGGGACTACTGAAGAAATTACAGAGAGCACTATTTATATAATTTCTTTGAATCACGCGTGAATAATACAGTTAATAGAAGTGATATAAACGATTTCTGAATCATCCTAATCTTACTTGGCACTTTTTGTCTGTTTTACCTTTTAAGAAATCACATACGTATTGTTGCCTCAATAAAACACAAAGTCTAATTTGAGACACAGAAGCTATGATGAGTCGTCAGTGTCACTGAACGCTCGTGAGAAAGAGGCTCAGGCCGATAAATGAGCCGAAAAGAGAGGCACGGGCCGATAAGTAATTAAAAAATAAAAAAAATAAAAAGTAAAAAAAATGTTATGGAATTTAAAAAAAAAACGGGTGGAACTGAAGGTTTTCGTTCTTTTTCTAGCCGAAATCCTACGAATTTGGATATGCCGTTAAGGATTCTGCCACGGGAAATGACTTCGGTAGACGAGAGAGCAGTGATGGTGAAACCGTACGGGGTGAATACCGTGTACAGCTTCCAGATGGAAGGGTCCAGATAGTGACGTACACGGCCGATTGGAGAACTGGCTTTCACGCAGATGTCAGATACGAAGGGGAAGCTACTTTTCCCGATCAGTACAATAGTGGTTACAACAATGGTTACAATCACAATAATAATAATAATAATGGGTACAATAACGGATATAATAATTTCAATAATTACAATAATGGATATAACTATAATCAGAACCAGCCACAAGGATTCAACTACCATCAAGGAGGTAAGTTCATGCGATAAATCATTCAATTATTCCCCGCATTAAAATTACACACGTCTCTCTTTGAAATTTTGCATCTCGTTGATTTCCAGACAATTATAATACCCACAGCAACCAGGGAAACTATAACAACTACCAGTTCCCATCGAACTCAGATTACAACTACAACAATAATCCCAATTCATTTGCTCCAAGACCCACGTATGGAACACCACAATTTCATTGATAGAATTTGTCCGTCCGAAAAATATCCACTTTAGGTCATTTGGGAAAATGGGAGGAGAATAAGTAGGGTCATTCGCCAATTTTACCTCGACAAGTGGAATTTTCTCTGAGAATTTCCAGGGAAAAATGTACTTGACTTGTATATACATTTAATACCCCAGAATATAAGGTGGTATATTGTGTAATTGTAATCTCCAAATTGAGGAGTAACGACCGGGGTCATAAAATAGTTTCTACTATGTACAGAGATATTTCTATAATTTTATAATAAAATGAGTACTTAAGAGATGAATATGTGTATTTACTTATGTAGATTTTCCGGAAAAATGTCCATGCGTCTTCCCCACGGAAATATTCCATAAACTTGGTGTTGACATGTTATTATCTGAACTGGAATGTCATACCTGACAACGAGTATTATTCAACCGCACATAGACTTTAATGATCCGAGGAAAAGGGGAGCGAATGTGGAGACTCACATGAAGAATGCTAAGTGGTCTGGAGTGCATCACGTCCGTCGTGGAGGCACTTTCCCCAGCTAAATTCGCTGTTGTTGTTACTGTTGCATACGCTATAATGGCCATTTCAAAACAATGATCTTCGCTATGCTTATCCTACCTACAAAAATATTTTTACGTTATTTTAGCTTCAATTTATATTATTTTAGTATTTCCCGCATTTTTTTAAACACAACTCTGTTGGGCCTCTACCGTGGAAGAATTTTCAGTCTTCAACATTAGCAGGACAAATAAATAATTAGCACAAACTACATCATTCAATTGAATCAGCATATTGCAAGAGCTTCTTGGAATGTATGAATATTAATATCAATATTAATATTCCAAAAAGGACGAATATCGGAACTATCGATAGTTCGATAGTCATGGTTAAATCGCGAATATTTCAAATGAAAACGCGTGCCGAGCCTGTGCAGACGATCCCATGTTGATAAATAATTGAAGCCGGTACAATGGGATAATTATCTCGGTTCCTATTGATCGTAAAGCAAAATGGAGCGAATTTCACCCTCCTTTAAACATCCCCTGAAGGGCATAAGCGCTTATATTCTACGTAGGTATCGGCTAATCGTGTAAATTTTTTGAGGTATAACTGCATTATTCGTCCTGCGGTCTGACCGGATTACTTTCCTTCTTTTTTTCCCATTTTGTTATTGTTCCTATTATGGAAGTTTTCAATTCCGCGAAGCTCCTCGTATGTAATCAACCAGTGACTGCACGCTGAAGTGTAAAATATATAATAACGTAGGCCAGTCGAAGGAAAATTTTATTTTTCACACGACCTCACACTCGTCAAAAGCGAAATTAACCTCCTCGGAGCGTAGTATACTATTTCTCTGTTGAGTTTCGGTATCCATACTGGAAGTTGACGTTTCGCAGAATGATAACAAGGAGAACGCTAATGGTGAATATATCCATACCGAAGAAATGCCAAGTGGCTCCGCTATGGCTCCTCGGAGCTAGACGCTATGGGGTATCACATAAATGCGCCACCGACTCCTGATGCTCTCACTGGAGAGAGCACGGATGCAATTTATTGCTGCTCCGCAAACCCGTATAATATCTCGGGTATTACAACTGGCCATCGTGGGTTGTCGTGGTCGTGGGAGCGTGCGAAGGGTCACCAAAGGTGCCTCAACCCCTGCCAACCACCTCCCAGTTATGAACCTTGGATATAGCATGGTGTCTTGCACTCCAGACACATGTGAAAATAATTCCATTTTAGGTTGTACCATCCACTAACACATGTCATATGTATGCATAGATTTATACTCCTTGATGATGTCTTTCTTTTTTCTCTCAAAGAATGAGAGTGGGAGAATGAAAATTCGCGGTTGGTTTCACACTCCTGCCAACGAATTTGCCAACGTCGAAATCGCAATTTTAAATTCATGAGGTGAGCGCGTCAATTCTTCATGTGGTACCCTCTTCACCATCTCCCCTTTTACCCTGTCCTGCATTCTCACTATTACCTATTCCATCTCTCCCCCTTTCCTATATTCTAGCGCGATGGCAAATTAAATGTCCTCTTTTCTATGCTCCACCACTCGAATTGATTTTCAACTGGTTCAATTGAATCCAATAACCATGCAAACATACATTTCGTGAGAAAATTCAATTCAAGTGGAAGAAGATATTTAGATGACGTATTGACTGCATTTTGGTCAAATTTTTTGCGCCAACCTGCACTTAACCCAATTTTCTGTTGCACTGTGAATCTCCGGAAGAGTAGCACTAGGGATGCAATGATTTCTCGGTAATTTCTAACCGGCGAGGCTGTAACGATTTGCAGTAGTGCACCATCATTAATTGCACAATTGAGTCTAGAGCGGCTTCTAGAGCATCTAATGTACCTCGTATCCTCGCATCATCCTCTCCTTTCATAGGTAATTCATCTCTCTCGGATTGCATCAATTGGTGTTCGTGATGGCCATTAATGTGCAATTATCCGCGTTTGCGTGAACCCATTCAGTGTTCACGATTATACCGCTGAAGGGATTTGTTTCGTTCACAAATGTGGAATTCGTGATTAACGATTGTGCATGACATGAAAACGTGAGAACATAATGAATCGGAAAATTCATGAGAATTCCAACGTCAGTATTTATCGTCAATGAACATGAATGTATGCTTTCAACTTGTGCTTTGATTCTCAGCAGAGAGGAATCAAGGAAAAATATGAGAGAACAAAGGCTTGGAAGAAAAAGACGATGGGGGAGGAAGCAAAGGGGACTAATTACCTTAAATCCACACACCTATTCAACCTAATAATGCGCTGTAAATCGCATGAATGCCAACATGAAAAATAACTGTGCTTTCATTAGGCTGTGAAATTCGGTAATGTTCCCCTCTTCACTACATATGACCCTACGTTTCTTATGTAAATATAACGGAAAATATCACATCATCGTTGGATTCCAAAGGAAAAACTTGATCTTATGATATGAATTATACCCTATCTTCCATCATTCTCGTTTCCCGGGAATGAGCACTGAATAATCTCGTCGGCATCCAGAATTGGAATAGATTAATGATATTTCTCTCAAATAATTGTAACCCCTGCAGTCATAATCTAATCAGACCTGTAATCCCGTATTAATGTCGTCCAAAACTATGCGTCTCGATATCTTTAGTCTAGTGAAGAGTCTACATACTTTATTACTCAAGTAGTCCGTTCAATATGATGGCGGAGAATGTGATTCGAAACTCATCATAGACAAGCAGGCGACATAGATGAATTATTGAAAGGAGTGAGTATATTTTGTCGCCACGAGAGACCGTACCGGATATGAAACGATCTCTATAAGAGAGTTACGACTTTTTAATCTCGCGCCACTTTAGGCGGACCAATAAGAAATCGTAGCTTCATGATTTCGACATTCTCGAGATAATCGATTGTATCAAGCGTGTAAAGCGGGGAAATTTGGTATTGAACCGGAGGCCAGGGAAAATAGGAGGACTGATGGGAAGAGGCGAGGGGTTTGACACCCTCTAGTGACGTCGGGCCCAAAACAAGGACCCCACAGGGTGAACGG